CTGAGTTTCATGATTCCAAACACACACACTGCCATTGTAAAGACTAGCCAACATCCATGGCTCTGTAGGATGCAAATCCACACTCTTAACTCGATCAGATCTAGCAGTTAGCTTTCTCTTGATGTCAAGTCGAAGAGGCTAAGGGGCAAAGAAAATTGTTGAGAAAAGTAAATTGTTAAGCCAAATAAAACAATGTATCAAGATGCTTATGAAACAATTCTGTTTTCACTTTGCTCAATTGTGAGTAGAGTTTGAAGTCTAACATACCCATGTTAGTCACACTTACAAAAATGAGATATTTTTTAAGTTTGTATTTATAGTAGCGGTTTTCAAATTCTACTTTTCCAGACCTCATTCTTTACACACTTAAAATTTATGAGGACTTCAAGTGATAATGTTTTATATTTGTGTAAAAAATTTCAGTTTGACTTTTTAGAAAACTGATTTTCATATCTGCTTTTGTCTCCAGTATGTTGTGGTATACCGTTTTGGTTGATATGTAACAAAAACAACCACCATCTGGCCTCTAATCGGAAGATGTAAGCCAGTTTTGGAGAATGGTATGTTCTGCTTTGATGTGGCCTGAGAAGCGGGGGCAGGGAGGGGGGTCCTTAAAGAACATGTGTACTGTGGGATCCGAAGCCACAGCCACAGGGAATAACTGTTTACACTCAGCTAAATTAAAATCCACTGGTCTATCCTACACTTTGAATAGATCTCAACTCCTACCTGGCTTTTTAAAACATCATACATTTGTCATTTGGGAAATGATGGTTCACTGAGTTTCACAGATCCACAAATACAACATATTTCATTACACTAAATCAAAAGTCACAATTATTAATACCACTACCTAATTCAACTGATAGGCCTTTGTGTATGAGAAAAACTCAAAGTATTTAGAAGTGCAGTCTTTAAAATTCTATCAATTGTAACAAACATGGTCAGGGACCAGCTATCATCTTTCAGTTATCAGGTTATGTTTAGTAAATATGTCTGAATAAGCAGCACCAATCCAAGTAAAGCTTGCAACCTGAACTTTTATCTGTATTCAAGTCCCTTTTGTACCAGACACATGCTACTTTACAAGTATTTTACCCATTCTCATTTTGTCATACAAATGCAGAATACTTAGAAGATGCCTACTCAGGTGTTGAGATTGGCAGCAGTAATAATATTTACTGTTCCATCGAGGGCATTCTTACAGAAAATCTGGCTTTAAAAACAACTGCATGACCATCAAGAATATATTATCAGGTCAGGTGTGGTGCTGTACTCCTGTAACCTCAGCACTCTAGGCCCTGGAAAGAGGACTTGAGTTAAGATCAGCCTGGGCTATAAGGTAAAAAAGGGTGTGTCATCAGCACGTTCTGGCACGTAGTGGAAAGGCCAACAGCATCTTCCTACTTATAGAACTTCTGACCTGTGACTTCCTAAAACAGTAAGAGGCCTCTAAGGAACTACAGAGGGCACTTCTAGAACACATCGTTTATAGACAGGTAAATGAATTTAAACATCAACTAAATCCCAATTTCATGCCCATGCCATTAGTGTTGTGTTAGAAAATATTGTGAAGATGTGTCATTTATGATGCTGCAGAAATCCTAAGCCACATTAAATGAGCTCTTAAGAAATAATCAGATGTGGGGGTGAGGGTCTATTTAAACTAGACAAGTAGTAATGTGTGATCAACAAAGGTTTACTCATGTCCATGAAGGCCTTTTGAATTTACAGAAACATACTGAAAAATTAGAGCCATTTTAAACAAACCAATCCATAAAATAGCAATAGTTTAAAACTGACCCTTTCCTGGGCTGGACCGATAGCCTCTGAAACAATACAGAGAAACCCTGTCTTGTAAAAACCAAAAAAAAAAAAAAAAAACAACTGACCCTTTCCAGTTGGCCTCTCTATCTGAAACAGACAGAAAATGATTAACTGTTTTCTGTTTCTCCCAGTGATGCCATCACAGAAGAAAAGTAATCCACTAGACAACGATGCCCTGGAAGCTGTAGGTCCCACTCTCCTATGGGCTAGTTTAAAATGCATTTCCTTTTCAACAAGCCTAAAGCACACCCTGAAAGGATGAGTTACTGTGCTAGCTTCTTTGAGCTGTTGGTGTTCCTTAACCATCATGAATGGGACAGAAATTTAGGGTTACTTTTCAACACATGAGGATCCAACAGAGGTAATATCTGAAATAAACACCTAACAACTCTGTCAAAGGTAGGTCACTGTCTACTTCTTTCTTCAATGTATGCTACCTCACTTCTAACAACTGTTTTCAAGACTCATGTTCTAACTCTTCAGTCCCTTGAGAACACTTCACTGCCACGTGTTCCTACCCATCTCAAACACGCAAGCCACCATCTTTAAATCTCATGCTAATTTCAGGAAGGCAGAACCTTTTCAATGACTTCTGAACTTTTGCCCCACTCACTATTGTAACAAATTTTAACTTCCTTCCTGTCATCATAGAGTCAACAAACAGAAAGCATGTTTATGCCAAGAACCATAGTGGGATCTTTCACATAAGCCAAGTATATACATATTTTATATTAACAATGCTTTAAAATTGATCAAAGTGGTCAGGAATCTTTGAACAACCCAGTATAGCTGCACATACTTCAAAGTGCAAGAACTCCTATAGTTATACTTATCATCCCAGTCATAACTTTTAAAAGACACGGTAGCAGGTCTAGATGGTTAAAGTACTCAAATGCATCCTCAACTCCAGTCTTAGTTTAAAAGCCACTGCCATCAACACACCCTTTCTGATTAGCCTAGCCAGAAGGATTCTCCCCCAGTCACAGTACATCTGTGCACACAGCTCTTGCTTATCAAGTGGTATACCTTAAGGGTAGGATCATTGCTTATAGAGGTCCTTCTCTCCACACCTTCTTTGGGAATGGGGGGAGGGGACAGGTGGCATAACTGAGGTCCACAGTCTCACTACAATCAAACCTCTGCTGCATCACATGTAGTAGTAAGTTTAACCTTCCAGGTTTGACTTGTATAAACAGGGATAATAATAATATCTACCTCTTGGTGTTTTGAGAAGGAAATTAGAGTTCAGTTAGAGCAGTGTAGGGCTTATAGTAACCATCTCATAAGATTACTTGTAACTATCTACAGGCTGCTGTGACAATTAGCTGGTAAATGTTTAACAAAATGCAGGGCAGTGACTACCCTATGGTGAGTGGGCAAATGTACAAATTCACTTTCTGTGCTTTCCACTTGAGACTTAAAGTCATCCTTTGATGTCTGTGAATGGTTCCAGTACCCTCCAAAGGTTCCAAAACCCTTGGTTGCTCAAGTTATAAAAAAATGGTGTGGTATTTGCTTATAACCTACCCATAATTTCCTGTCATCTCTAGATTAGTTACAACATCAATACAGGGTCAAAGAATTGTTATACTATACCAGTTAAGGAAAAAAAAATCACCAGAAAAATGTTAATGCATGTTTACACAGTATTTTTCCCCAAATGTCTTCCACCCAAAGCTGGTTCAATCTGTGGGTGTGGGACTCGCATACATTAAAGAATGAAAACAATATTTCAATACTTAAAAATGTCTCAGAAATGAAATAAGGCCCACCCAAGGGCAGTTTCCAAAAATGTCATTCTCTGAGCCCAGAAGGCCCAACCAACACCAGCTGTTTAATATAAAGTGGTGTGGTTTCCACACAAGGTCTGTTGAGGTGGCTCTCAACTTTGGGGACCCGATAAAGTATACAAAAGAGAATGGTGTAGGAGGAGCTGGAAACACTAAATTTTATGCCAAACTTTCTCCAAGAGGTTTTTTTGGGAGTAGTCATGTCCCTCACCAGCCAATCTTTTCCATAATCTGCTTTGTGCAAACTTAAGTCTTACGTGTGTGTGTGTGTGTGTGTGTGTGTGTGTGTGTGTGTGTGTGTGTGTGTGTGTTGCTGTTTTTCGAGACAGGGTTTCTCTGTGTAGCTTTGGAGCCTATCCTGGCACTTGCTCTGTAGACCAGGCTGGCCTCAAACTCACAGAGATCCGCCTGCCTCTGCCTCTTGAGTGCTGGGATTAAAGGCATGTGCCACCAACACCTGTCAGGTTAGGGACTTGGAATTATTTCCCCTACAGTCGTCAATCACCAAAACATTTTATCATGTGATCCATAATTAATAAAACAGGCAAGAAAATGTTTAAGAATAAAATTCTGAGGTTTCTTGCTTTTTTTCCAGAAAAGATATACTCACACTTTTTTTTCATTGAAACAATCCTATGCAAAGGCATTTTGGGTCACGTTTGAGTGTGACAGTGATGATTTTTTTTTAAGTGCAGAAAAATACATTAGCTAGTTTTATAAGCAATTCCCCAATCTTTCTTTGCCCCTAGAAAGCGACGAACTGGCCCGCTAAAGCATTTGAAATGTCACCTTTGACTCCATACACATTTGGCTTTTTTCCTGTTTAAGTTTGCAATTTGGGGTCTGCACCCTACCAAACACCGCGCGCAACCTGGATGCTGAATTGGCAGACACCAGCTTAATGACAGAATGAAGTGAGTTTTGTCAAAGTTGCCTTTGGTGTCGGTTTTCTGCCTCTGGCATTGACTTGCGCTACTAGACCCAGTGCACACAGCGGGTGCACCGACAGGCGCCCCGACTGCCAAGAGGGTCAGCAGCCGCTCACTAGCAGGCACCCAGACCACCCCAGCCTCCAGGCCGGGCCTGCTGCCTAGCAGAGCTCCAACAGGACCCCGGCAGGCCGCAGCAGGAGCGCAGACCGCGTCCCACCACGGCCCCCAGCCCAGAAGCCCCCGGAACCCGCCGCAGCCGGTGAGCTTCGCTCTCTGTCCCGCGGGGCTCGACCTACCATGGCTCCGACTGTCCGAGCCCGAGCCTCTCACAGGCTCCCGGCGACTCTGGTCCTGAGGAACCCACCGACCCGCGGACCAGCCGACCCACTGACGTGGAACTTCCGGGAAGCGGTTCTCGCGATACTCGGAACCAGGCTGTGCGCCTGTGCAAACTCCCCGTAAGGCGGTCCGTGTCAAACCCCGCCCCGGTTTCCTAGGTAACGCGGCCTTCTACGCCTCCGGCTGCTGAGCTGGCTGAAGTGTGCGGCGCTGTGACCCGGGAAGGGCGGTGGCTATCCGCGGCTGTGGCCGTTTTCCTTCGATCAGGTTCAGAAAGCCGAGAAGGAGCATTGTGCTGGATTACTGCTGATTGCCGGCGGCGCGGAGGAGCCCGGAAACTGTCCGACCAGCTTGGGCCTCTGGCAGAGAAAACAAGGTTCTGGCGGGCGCCGGAGCGAGGCCCAGAGCTGTGTCTGGATCTTGGATGACTACGACCGAGGCCGAGCAGATGTGGGCGGGTCTCCAGCCTCTGAAGTCCCAGGCACCCTGATACCTTGGTTCTGGAACCTCTTGGGAGTCAGCCTAGTGATTGCCCTTCCAAGAGCATGACCCTGCGTTTGCTGGGCTATGTGCCTTCTGCCGACTGTAGCGTAGATGCTTTCCTTTCAGATTTTCACATCAAGCTTGAGCCGTTTTATTGAGTAGGAAATTAAGGCTCAAGGAAGTTGGGTGTACTGGCCAAGATGGCCCAGTAAGTAGTGGTGTTAGGATCTAGGCTCAGAGGGATATGCCCCGAGAGCTCTGTGCTCTAGCTGAGTTTTAGAAAATGCCATGCCATAGGGGTTTCCAAGAAAAGTGCAAACGTACTGTCTACCGATGACACACACACACACACACACACACCTTTTAAAAATTATAATACCATAAAACAAATGGAACTTGCCCCTGGATACTTATAAAACTCAGATGTGAGAAAAGTCTAGGTTTCCAGAAGGAAGTGTGTAGGCTAAGGGAGGGAAGCATAAGTTTTCATCAGGTAGTTCCTGGTTCTTGTGAGATTTATGGGCCTCCGTTTTGGATAATTTCCAAAGATCCATTTTTAGTATTCTGTGTTTCAGTAAAAACAAATTTTCTATCAGTGGTGAGATCTTAAAAAATTGAGCCAAATATAATCACATACATTTCATACTGTACAGCAACCAATTGCAAAATTAGTTTAAATTTTTTAATGTGAATTGTATCTACTGTGGTTGAATAGCAGAGCTTATATTATTTCTTATTCCAGGACTCTTGTTGCATTCCAAGAGGGTGCATTTTGATTCGATACAGTACCAAGAAATACAAATTAATATGTCCATTCCTCAAGATCTCAGTTGGCAATATTTAAATATATATAACACCAGGCACCAAAGATTTATGTAGTTTACCTTGTTGGATATTTAACCCCCCAAGTATGGTGTTCATTTTGTATCTTAACTAGTCTTTTTCTGCCGCAGTTCACCAACGTTACGTTCTACAATCGTGACCTGTAATCAGCTCTTAACTGGGCTATGGTGGCATGTCCATGTCATCAAAGCACTTGAGAGGCCAAGGGGACAGGAATTCAATGCCAGTTTGAAGAAGACTCTCTCTCTCTCTCTCTCTCTCTCTCTCTCTCTCTCTCTCTCTCTCTCTCTCTCTCCCTCCCTCCTTCCCTCCCTCCCTCCCTCTCTCTCTCTCTTTCTCTCTCAAGTTCGTGTACTGAACTTGCACTATGTGAAAACTTATACTGGGTACTTCCTTAAGTTAATAAAACTCTGGACTTGGGATTTGGTTGAAAGAAATTTCAAGAACATAATCAAATACTAACACATAAACAACCACACACACACACACACACACACACACACACATTCCTTAAGGGTTCAATTGTGGGCTTAAAGCAAAATCTCTTGTTTACTCTGATTTAGAGGAGACTGGAAGGTTAGGAAAATAGCTCTGGGGAAGAAAAGAAATATGGTCAAGCTCAGCAAATTGATAGAGGGTTTCCCACGGGGTTGGTTGTAATTGATAACAGAGCTTAAAGTCTTACCTGGTCAATTTCTAGGATGGCTGTCTTAACCCCAGGGAATTCTTCCCGAAGTGCTTTTAGCAGTACTGTACATACACTCTGCCCTCCCCATCTGTTCTAGTTGACTTCTGTTACTGTGATAAAACACTGAAAACCAGCCTGGGGAGGAAAGGGTTTCTTTCATCTTACAAGTTGCAACAATCACTGAGGGAAGCTGAGGCAGGAACTCAAGACAAGACTGGACCCTAGCTTGAACCTGGAGGAAAGAACAGACAGAGTCCAAGGAGAAGTGCTGCTTACCAGCTTGCTTTTCACAGTTTGCTTGGCTTTTCTATACAACCCAGGACCATCTTCCCAGGTGGCGCTGTCTACCATAGGCTGGGCTCTTGCATAGCAATCATTAATCAAGAAAACACCCCTCCGAGCTGCCTACAGGCCAGTATGATAGGATGCATTTTCTCTTTGAGAATCCCTCTTCCCAGATGACCTGAGCTTGTACCAAGTAGATAGAAAATTAACTAGCCCGCCATCCTATTTCTACTTCTTTCTAAGAGGCCTAGACAATGAAAATCTTTGAGGAAATGTTTTTTTATGATGATGATGATGATGATGTTTAATACATGTGTATCAGCTTAGCAGAGAACTAGATTAGAGTTTGAAGAAGCCTAGCTGCTCCCCTGGAAAGGCTACAGCCTATAGGCAGGAAGGACCAGTTATGCACAAAACATTGCATGCTGGGCAGAGTAGGGGTACCTGAGGGAGGAGCGACAACAAAGGCGTGTCCAGCTGAGAAGATAACAAGCTTCATTGCACAAGCAGAATGGGGGGGGCAAATCGCCATTGTAAAGAGGATATGGTATGTTTGTGGATGAGAATATGTCATGTTTGCTTGGGAAATGGTATTCATTTACAAGAGCAGTGAGGGAGAAGGAAGAAGAGGGAATGGGCTGGAACCTGAACATACACACCTAGGGAGAATTGGGGCTTTGATTCTGGAAACAATTGGGATCACTAAGCCAGACAACACACTTGTTCACATGTGCACGTTTGCTGATGTATATGACACAAAGAAATGAACTGGGAAAAATAGACTATAAAAATATGGAGTAAGTGAATGTGAAAATATTGGTAATAAAGGTTTATTGAGTGCCCACAATTGGGATTCATAGGGTAAATCTAAAAGATGTGCATTATTTTGTTTAATTTATAGGGGAGAAACTGAGACCCCAAATGGGATGTGTGTAGTATGTTCCATGCCACCCTGCTCAAGGTGAAAGACAGACCTGATATTTGTAACTCAGTCAAAACTAAATCATATCTAGTTATCCCAATGCCCTTTGGAGTTTCTCATCCCCCTCTTCCATGATTATTTCCAGGAAACTAGAGTAAACTAGGCACATAAGGAGTTTGTAGAGTTGATGGAGAAGGAAGAATTTAGCCCTGTTTTGAATGTAATAAACCACCAATTTTCTAACGAAGATTGGGAATCATTGAATGACGTTGGGGCCAGTGAAAAAACAATCAGAGAAAGACCTTGGAAAGAATAAAAAGAGAAAGAACGTGGCACTCTGACAGATGTCAATTAAGAAACAGAAGACAGCTGGATACAGAAGAGAACATGGGAAGAGAGTAGGGAGGCTGCAGTCTTGGTGGCTTTAGAGAATCTAAGGAAAATAAGGATTTGCAAAATCTATAGTGATGATGACTTTTAAAACAGGATGTTTATCTTTTTTTTTTTTTGGCTTTTCTAGACAGCCAGGGTTTCTCTGCATAGCCTTGACTGTCCTGGGACTTGCTCATAGGCCAGGCTGGCCTCAAACTCACTGAGGTCTGCCTGCCTCTACCTCCCAAGTGCTGGGATTAAAGGCGTGCGCCACCACCTGGCTAGGATGTTTACTTTAAAGGGTTTTAATGTAAGCACACACACACACACACACACACACACACACACAATGCATTTAGTGGAGTAGTGCTAAGAGAAGCAAGTTTGTAGAAGGCTTTGAAGGGTGGCATGACAGTGAAATGGGAGTGGTGGATATTGTTTGCCAAGAGATTAGTGATAGTAGACAAATGTTGGTTTGAAACATGTAACACTGAACATGGGCTGACTCTTTCTACACGCAGGGTATAGTTTGTATAAATTATAACCCTCCAAATGGATGCTTGTGAGTTAGTTAATGGCCCTTTGCAGTCGGGGTGGAAGAAGGTAGCCAGTTCCACACCAGGAGACTGTGCAGAAACTCATTTTCCCAAAGAACTAAGAATAAATTAGCATTCTTGGGCCAGGGTATGGGGGAGAATTGTGAAATGGTACTGGAAAGACAGATGAGGCTCAGCTCTGAAGATGTGTGGTTGTCAGTTTAAGAAGTCTGGACTTTATCCTGCAGGCTCTGGGGAACGGTGGAAGAATGTTAAGTAGGATAATCTTCACGCTTCCTCATTGATTCATTGCTGCACGTCAGCTACTTTCCCTATTAAAGGAAATGTTAAAAATTATTACCCAGATGAATGCATAAAGTGAATGGAAGGGAGAGGCTGACCACATGGTCACATGACCATCACCAGACTAAAGTAAATTGGAGAACCACTGAGCTGTCTCCTAAGGAGAATGAAGATACGGTTCCTTAAGACTTACTTACTGGCAGAGTCTTGACTGCAAAAATTTTTGGCTTTTGTTGAGACAGGTTCTCATGTAGCCCAGGCTAGTTTCTGAACTTGGTATGTAGCTGAGGCTAGTTTTGAACTCCTCACCTCCTTGTTCCAACCTCCTGAGTACTGCTATTGCAGGCACGCCTGATCTGATTGTAGATATTTTAAAAATACCTTTATTAGTCTTTTTTGTTTAAGTTTTTCAAGACAGGGTCTTGCTGTATAGCCCAGGCTAGCCTTAAACTCACCATGTAACCCAACTCCTGCCTCAGCCTTTCAAGTGCTAGAATTACAGGCATGTGCCACCATACCTGACCTATTGTTGACGTTCTGACCCTTCATATGGTTTCCCAAGAACTCAAAATTTGTTCAAACAAATTTACTCCGTGTGAGTTTGATACAGAATTTGTGATTGACAGAGGATACTTAGTTTTTCTTAAAACTTAAATCTACAAAAACTAAGTTGTTGGTCATAGTTTTGGAAGTTTTTAAAGATTTACTTTATTTGTAATTCTGTGTGTGTGTGTGTCTGTGTCTGTGTGTGTCTGTGTCTGTGTCTTTGTGTATATGTGTGTACATGAGTTTATGTATCTGCAGAGGTCAGAAGAGGCCATCAGATCTCTTGGAGCTGAATCTACAGATGATTGAAAGCCACCAAACATGAGTACGGGGAAACAAACTCTGGTCCTCTTCAAGAGCAACAAGTGTTCTTAATCTATGAGTCATCTCTTCAGCCCCTGGTGGTCACATTTTTGACTTGTATATAATTTTCCCATTAGCTTCATATCTTTTAATAATTGTCGAGTGGGTTTCAAATAGAAATCCGGAGGTGACTTCCTAGATAGGGAGTGTTGTCAATATGACTGTAGAGTTTTAGGAGTCAGGCATGTAGTCACTCCGATAGTAGACAACCTTCCTGTGCATCCTGTGCCTTGATTTCACACATAGGGTGCTAAGAGCACCCTACGGTGGGTAGCTCATAAACAGAAGGGTGCTTCTCTACCCCAGGGTTGTCTTGTGGAGTGACCTTTAAGACTCTGGGTTTTGTGACATACACCATGATATTATATATCATGAGTTCCAGTGTTACACCCCACTCCAAACTTTCAGACTCTGGGTCTGTGGTTCTGTGCTCTTGTCAACTTACACATGTGACAAGAGTAGCTGCAGGATCTAGAAATGGGTTTGTTTTTTACATCACATGCTGTGTAGCTCTTCCCATGTGATCAGAGCTTGTCTTGTTCTTCCTCTCTGGAAACCACACTCCATCAGTGAATTTTGTTGTTGACTCCATCATGCTTGGACAAACGTGAGGGTCCTGGGAACCCAGGTAAGAAGCTCAGCAGACAAGCAAGGACTGAGAAGGCCCAACAATGCATGCTGTGCAATGGTCCCCAGGCCCTGGCCAGCTGTCTTCTAACTGGCCCTTAACTTCCTTCCGGGAAAAGATTTCACAAAGTTTTTTTTATAACCAAGTTGGTGAGCAATTATGTTCCCTTAAGAATTATGTCCTTATAAGTTGCAGTCCTGCATGGAAATAAATGAATAATAATGACAAATAGCCTGGCTATCTGGCATATGGCAGGTACCTTTAAATTAATTGGGAAAAATTGAATGTAAAAGTGAAATATCTGGAGTGACAAGACCCTGCAAAGTATAATTCCAACCAAATTGCTTTATTCTACTTTCTTCTAAAGAATTTGTCAGCTCAGGTTGATCTAAAGACATTACTGAATTTGAATTCGAATGTAGTGCTGACCCTAAGATTGAAAAATGAAATCCTCGGGCTGAGCGCCTGATATACTTTATATATGAATATGATAATCCAAGTCATGTCCAGCTGCCCTACCATGAACCTTTCCATTCCATGTCAAAGCATGTCAGTGAATAGTCCATGATAAAGTAACCGAAACCCAAAAGGTTCTTTAGAAAAATAAATCGCTTCTATGCTAAACACAGCTGCATTTTGGTTGCAGGTGCAACTTCATCTTGAAAAGATTTATGTGAAGTGAGTGTTACATTTTACATTATCTGCCTTCAGAAAACAGACTGGTAGAGGCAAAGTCTGTGTGTGGGAGAATGAGAAGGGTTACAGATGATTTTATTT